AATGTCGTCCATCCATAATATCTCGAGTAATATACGACGCATGATCGGTAGACAACTCCCTGCTCGTGTTGACATTTATTGAGGGAGGAGGAAACTAAGGTTTTCATGAGTGTATTGACTTTCTTCATTGGAGATAGCTAAGATGCACTGCAACTGTTTGAAGATTTTCTAACTTCTTTCTGATGAAAGTATGTGGGTATCTAACATACCTTATCTGCGATGCCTCACTCATGTGAAGGTATGGCTGCAAGAGGGCACACTAGGCTGTCCAACCTTTATATAACTTGTAGTACTATTTATTCCACACTGTAGGCTGTCTCCCTCTACTCAACACATCAGCTCTACCTTATCAGTAAATTAAAAGCATCCTATGTATTTATCATTGCTGCAATAGATTTCACCCATTAGATTATTTGATCAGATATTGAATGATCGCCCATTTTCTCTATTTTAATACTTTACCAGAGTCGACTTGAAATTTATTCATGTTTTTAAATTGTGGGCGTTTGGTCCATTGTCTAAACAGACACTGTAAGAGTTATTTTTTTTGTAGATATGGTACAGGTCGAGGATCCTTTAGCAGAATTCTGAAAACTCAAGAGAAAGAAAAAAACAGGTTTTTAAAATGGGCCCTACTGTATGTGAGTGAATGCATATGTCACATGATGAACCAGAGACAAACCCCTGTACTGTACGTATATTAAACTCACAACACTAACAAAGACTGAAATGAAGCACACAGCTGCAATAACATAAGCAAATGCAGGATCAAAGTGTAGGTCAGCTAAGTCAGCTGTCACTGCCTTCTCATGTCTTAACCTGTAACCCCCCAACTTCTGTGTTCAGACTAATTGCTTTAAAGTTTTTGCTACATTATTAAAATTATCCAAATAAAATTTACTGTAAAACTTTTGTGCATCGTATAAACACTAGACCAGCAACACCTGGACAGTACATGGAGAGAAGCAGTGGTCTTAGTGAGCGAGAAAATTTTTGGCAAAATTAAACATTATTTCATATACAGTAGCTAAAATAACTATCTGTGCAAGTGGGGGTCGATATGCTCCGAAATTTTACGTGTTACTAGTGATAACCCATATATAAAAATTTAGCGTCCATGGTCTCATATTGTTTCCCACAAAGTATGCACAGATAGTTAGTTGTTTTAGCTACTGTACATTAATACACCAGTAAATCAAACCAAACATTAACAAAACCAAAAAGTATTGAAGAAAACTTAAACACCATCATAATTACTGTATACAGTAAACGTATTAAATGTTAGAGGTGAGCTACAATGGCGTTAGAGGGTGGGAGAGAATGTCACTGCCAGAATTTACCCACATTCATTGCTGAAATTTTTTGTTTTGTATACAGTTACACAACAGTAGATCAAACCAAACATTACCAAAACCTGAAGTATTAGAAGAATACCTAACCAGAATCATGCTTAATGTAAAGATATCTTAAATACAAGAGGTGGAAAGTGGTTGTAGGTGTGGAAATATCACATTGATGAGATTTGAGGTCTGGATCTGGGTTTGTTTAGGTTAGCCTAAGCTTAGAATATTGTAATGGAAGTAGCCTTAGGCATCTGCAAACTGAAAATATCTGAAAACTGAAACTCCAGGGTTATCGGGTAAAGGATTCTCGACCTGTAATACTTTCATTGTCATGAACTGCTGTGACAAGAGGGTTGGGAGTAAAGCTTATGCTGCACTATAGGGTGTCGGTTCTTGTTTATAAGTCTATGTTTATTTTGTTTTATTTATGGATCTTTTATCTCTAGAATTTTTTTTTCATGTGTACAGTCATCAGCAGAAGTTCATCCCAAGCCAAACCTGCCTGATATGAGGCAGGTGATCTGGTAACACTGTATTGGGAAGCATTGACAAATCTGCTTTAAATGGCTAGTTTTTTCCAGATTGATGATTGTAGCTGTCTAAGAACACATTTCTGGTATATAGCTTAATTAATATCAATGTGGGAAAATAGTGTTAGAGAAATTTATGACATTCTTGCAGGATGATTCATAACTGGAGATTCTGGTGAATATGATTGTTTGTACTGCTGATGCCAATGAGTATTTTTCATGCTTGATGCTGTTAACTACAGTACTTGGCATTTTAGTGTTATGGTGTATCTGCTTGGGGAAAATTTGGAATAGTGTTCTAATTATTTTTGTTGTTGAACAACTTATGCAGGATAATAGGAATATAGAAATTGTAGTTTAATACTTTGAAGTGAACAGTGAGGTTATACTATACATATTACAGGAGTTAAGTGTGAATTGGTTTATTGCAGTTTGTTGTGAGAGTTGGCTTCTCTGTCCTGACTTCCTGTGGTTTTAGAATGGAGTATGGTTGAAGTAAATGAACTTATGTTAGGGAAATAAGTCTCCGTAAAAGTGGAAATGTGTACAGTATACTGTATGGGTATTCCTCGTTAACACGATACAAACATTACTAAAATGTATTATAGAAAGTAAAACTGTTTTATGTGAAACTAATAATACCATAGGAAAACATAAAAGGAGAAGGATACTTGTAAGAGAGACATTATGTGACAAATATAAACATAGGATATGCCTAGTATGGTACTGTATGTATGCGTGAAGTAAATAAAAGAATAATTTCATGCATATACAGTCAAAGATCAAAATCTAAATTCAAATGTCTGTAATGCTGAAGAATCCATGGTTTCAGATTTGAAGTACAGTACGAGCCAAGATTCAATTATGAGTTTGTGTGTTCAACCACTGCATGCACTGCTGTTGTCCATGCACTCGTGTGTGTGGTTGTATGCATGATATGGTGGGGTTTATTTTTGTATATAAAGTATTAAATTTTTTTATTCTTATAAGCAGTTTTTATGGTTACATATGTTTAGTTTTATATTAGAGGCTAGTTACATGCATGGTTGGTGTTAGAGAATGGATATGTCAACCTATTAGTAGTCAGTATTCAACATCATCAACTGCTCTTGTAGTTCATCCAGCTCCATTACTGTACTTTCATTTTCACCTCTTAACAAAATAGATTTCCTTTGCTTTTAAATAACAGGAGAACTTTTTTCACTTGTTATTTGCTTTGTACTCCTGAGTGTGAGGGATGCTACTAATATATAATCAAAGAACAGCAAAGTTTAGCAAGTCAACATAATCTGCATGCTAGGTGAATAATGTTCAGGGCAGTACTGAAAACATTACTGCAGTGGAGAGTCTGAGGATGCGAAGAAACTTTATCTGGGGCATGTTCAAAACACATTCATCTATCAGTCATGTTAAACTTGAATTGAATTGTGTTTTGAAAAAGTCTTCCTAATTTGTGAATACAGTGAACCCTCGCTTTACGCGGTTTCACTTTACGTGTTTCTACATTTACACGGTACCCTGCCAGAACCGGAATTCCCACTTTACGCGGTGCATCTACTCGTATACGCGGGTGAAGTATAATTTTTTTATTTAGCTCATAAAATTCATACAAATTATCCGGCCAGAATATAATTTACATTGCTGGAATTCTTACAATTTGATGATCATTTTGAATATAAGCATCATAGATTTTGCATTAGACATACAAATTTTAGATCTAATGCAAGTATTTTGTTTACTCAAAGCAAATATGTTATCTTTTGTGCAAAATATATGAAGTGTATATTCAAAATATTCCTGGTCTTGCAAGGAATCCAGCAGTGTCAATTATATTATCCTAACTTTAGTCTGAGGTATTATTTATTACTAAAAAGGTAAATATTCTGGTTTCTCCCACACATTTCTCTGGTAGGGAGGGTTGGTGGGGGGTGGGGGGGGAGGGAGGGACCAACCGACCGACCATCTGGCGCGGTTGGAAGAGGGGGGAGGCAAGGTGGGGTACTTTGATTGACAGATAGTGTCGTGAAGAATATATTTTTTTTTTATTAACTGAAGATATTTGTTTTAGCTCATAAAATTCATACAAATTACCCGGCCAGAATATAATTTACATTGCTGGAATTCTTACAATTTGATGATCATTTTGAATATAAACATCATAGATTTTGCATTAGACATACAAATTTTAGATCTACTCTAAGTATTTTTATTACTCTGAGTAAATATGTTATCTTTTGTGCAAAATATATTACATTTATATTCAAAATATTCCTGGTCTTACAAGGAATCCAGCAATGTCAATTATATTATCCTAACTTTAGTTTGAGGTATTATTTATTACTATACCTTAAAATCTAGTGGTTTTCCCCCCAAACATTTCTCAGAGAGGGAAGAGCCAGGAGTGTGAGAAGAGGGGGAGGGAGTCGAGTCCATTATTTGAATGGACATTAACTTGGCGACTGTATTTCTCTTAAGTATTAATTGTGTGCATGTACCATCATAAAATTAAGATGTTATTTTTACTAGAACATAGGTATTGTGTCGGAAAAAGTGGAGTTTGGGGGTCAGCCGGTCTCTATTTCATTTAATCCCATATGTTATGTTGTTCACTTTACGCGTTTCTCGCTTTACGCGGGCTTCCGTGGGTTCAATTGACCGCGTAAAGTGAGGGTTCACTGTAGTGTAAGAACAAAATCATGTGCGAATGCATGTTATCGTGGGAATACCTGTACAGTACAGTACTTGGAGGTGATGGTATTGTATACAGTATACAGAAAATGGAATTACAGTATTGTACAAACCGATAATGACATCATAATGATAAATAACAGAATTTTAGAACAGATTGACCCTTGATTAATAGATCATATAAATATAAGTATTGGTATCTCGACAACATTGATTTAGCTTTAACTGGTGAATACTTTCATATTATTTATTTGAGTTTTAATCATACTTATAACTTACTGATAATTTTCTAAGACTAGAATGCTAGAGACCACTTAAGGGAATATGTTAGTAGTTTATTAACCTAATTTAAATATTTTTTGCAAGTTATAGCTTTTGAAGTGCTAGAAATGTTAAATACATTAGTGAATAATTAATACTAACAGTATAATTTTTATAGGTGGGCCAGAGGCATGGGGGTTTCCTGGGAATTTTCCAGCGAGCCTTATCACGGGCATCAGCTCACATCTGGTTTGAGCGTTCAGAATCCAAAGACCGGTTTGCTGTTGCCAGAAGATTGAGAGAACATGTTGAAGATCCAGATAAACTTCCCATACTTATATTTCCTGAAGGTACATGTATCAACAACACATCTGTTATGCAGTTTAAGAAAGGAACATTTGAAGTGGGAGGAGTCATCTACCCTGTGGCCATCAAGGTAAGCAGTCCTTTTACACTTTGGAGTAATAACTACCAAGGAGAGTGTAGTGAGGGGGAGAAAATTGCTAAGATAAAGTAGAGATATCCATATGTAGTTGCTCATGTTATTCCAGAAAAAAGAGAATTGTAATAGAGGCTTAGAAGAGACTTAAGATCTTGAGTACTGTATCTTGATTGCTTTGGACCAATTCCTTATAAATATATATATTTTTTTAAGTTTAATTTTATCTAGTATTAACTATTACTGTACATATGTGATCCATTTCAGTATGATCCTAGGTTTGGGGATGCATTCTGGAACTCCTCTAAGGAGTCAATGGTGAGCTATATTTATATGATGATGACTTCCTGGGCAATTGTGTGTGATGTTTGGTATCTACCTCCAATGACAAGAACAGAAGACGAAAGTTCAATTGACTTTGCCAATCGAGTAAAAGCTGAAATTGCTCGTCAGGGAGGTCTTGTTGACCTAGTTTGGTAAGTAGACTATTGTATTGTATAATTATCTGACTTTTCCATAGATTTAGTTTTGGGGGGATTTGTTGGCAGCATTTTAATGTAAAGCGTAATTCCATTAGATTTTCTGATTCATCGCTTTAGTAAGGGATAGACAAGAGTTATCAGAAAGTGTAGCTTAAACAGTCTCAGGTATGTTTCACTTTCTTCAGCTAATCCTATATGAATTGGTTACACTCAAAATCACTACAGGTGCATTGCCCTTTCTTCTTTATTTTCAACACATAACTATTTTGAGAACCAGACAATCTTGTAACAATGATGCTCACATTATACGTCAATTTAAAAAACCCTACCATGTATGCCTATTAGCAAAGCTTAATGAAAATGTTAACTGGGAAATACTAAGAGATATGACTTTTTTTTGTTGTAATAGGGATGGTGGGTTGAAACGATCAGCACCAAAGAAGGAATGGAAGCAACAGTATCAGCAGGAGTTTTCACGGCGCCTTAAAGTTCAAAATGTAAACTCCGAGAAGAAAGAAGAAAAGACTGAATGACTAGGGGAGAATGAAGAGAAAAAGAAAGTTAAGTGAACAAAGTGAGAAAAATAGTGTGTGGATAATACTACATAAACAAAAGGCTTATACAGTAATGTTTATGAACCACCATGATGTATACTCCAGCAACTCCTCATAATGTTAGAGTTGCTGAAGCTTATTGTTAGAACCCCTCCTAAGTGTGTCTGTCAAATATACTATAAAAGGGAACTTGGTCTTAGAAAAAAATGGGTTTGGTGAATGTAGTAATATAATTGTAAAAGTGAATTCCTTTCAAATCGTATTGTAAAAAAAAAAAAATACAATAGAGATTTTATAGAAGATGAATTTGACAACTATTATACTGTCCAGTTTCCTAAAAGTGTATTAATAATTAGATAAACTTTTGATATTCAGAGAGATGATGTGGGAGGTAATTTGTACTACAGTATATTCCTGGAGGAAAGAACGACCTTGAAAACCATCTTGCCTGATAATCAGGACTAGTTGTAAACAATGTAGTGTGTGTTTTACCAGAAAGTTTCTTCAATTTTTCTAGAAGGAATCTTTTATTATATATTTTGACTAGAGAATTTAGAAACAGAGGATGACAATTTAAAACCTTTCCACATCTGAGGACACTGGCAGTGTTACATAAAGAGGCAAGGAATATTTGCCCTTGCCCTTTGTGACATATCATAGATATTATTTTATGGTACAGTACCAGGTCTTATAACCGTAGCCTGGTGTCATCTTGGGGTATTTCTGTATATGTATAGTGTTGCAAGTGTAATTTCTTTGTACAATGTATTTTGGAAATGTAATTTGTGATAATTATAAATGGGTAGTTGGGTAACTATTTGTAGACTGTCTTGTGTTCAGTGATTTGTAGAATGTCTTGTGTTCAGCATTCTGTCCATTATGTACACAAATGCAGGTAAGAGAGTTAAACAAGGACAATGAGATGTATCCATGGAATTGTATTAATATTTGACAAGTACCGTACATACTCGAGTATAAACTGATCTCATATATAGTTTGACCCTAGCCTTTGAGAAATACTAGGTATAATCGTAGACTTATTTTGTACCAAGACAGCAGTTTCACACGAGTGCGTCTTGGCCGTGACCACCACAACAGTTGACGCTATGAACAGTGTTACCAACTCTGAAACTGAATTTCCACCAGTTACCAACTCATATGAGGAATAAGATAAAATAATATATACTGTACCAGTAAATGTGAGGAAAAAAATCTAAATATTAACAAATAAAATAAAACAAAAAAAATTGCTCTATACCCATTTGGCTGCTGGATGATGACATTTGTCAATCGTTTTACTCCACATGGAAGACCACTCAGTGTTCTGAGATCCCCCACTCCTCTCTCCTCCACTGTTAACTCTTAATACATGAAGAAAGTTTATTCCCTTATAGTATGTCTTTGACCTCATGATTTTTTTTCCACTTTCTGTAAATAAGATTCTGTGCATGTAACAAAAAATAAATATATATACAGTATGTATATCTACCCAAAATTATGAGTTGAAATATAACCATAACATAGTTGATGGCTCAGCCTGGAGTGGTAGGAAGGGGGATGTGACTACAGTAACAAAGTCTTGTGTTTATACTACAAATACAAAACAAAACAAAAGTACTAAAATCCAAGCACAAAAATATAAAAATGTAAGGATTATTATCACAGATGTAACGGGTTATATGCCAAGTCAAAAGGCTGAAGCAATAACTCTTCTCCCTGTACAGTACCTCCTTTCCCAGCATTCATAAACCATCCCACCTACCTTTCTTATCTTTCTTATGTTATTTAACAATTGTGCTACTACAAGCAACATTTGTATACTATCTAGATGAAAAATGCAGCTAAAACCATTAAGGAAAAACTAATTGGAAGTTTAACACAACAGCAATGCATAGATGCTTGCTGCAACCTAGCCTCTCTTGACTCCCTAGCAATGGCCCCCTCAGTTCAGCCTGCCTACTCGTGTGCAAAGAAATGTTATTTTCTTTGTGTTTGACCTTATGATAATTATATCTTACTTTTTATTGCAATGTATGTAGGATTGTGTGCATGTAATCGAGTAAAAAAAAAATAGAAGTTATGTATATCTATCTAAAATTAAGAGTTAAAAAAATAACCGACGCCTCAGAGCTCGGTAAGGTTATCCTACAGCGAGCATATTCTGCATAGCTGTTGCTCACCATAAATGACCCATGGAAATACACGAATATTAATCCCTCAAAAATACTAAGCGTATGCTGTATAGTTCAACCCTCAACTTTTTGCGTAAAAATTTGGTCCTAAAAATGAACTGCACTCGAGTTTATGCGGTATCTGTCAAATGTCAGCTAGCTTGCGTTATAAGTGTTGTACACTAGAAACTGGTAAGTGAATTTTGACTTACATTAGTGTATACAAGCTTCATTACATGTGTATAGTGTATACAGGCTTCACTACATGTGTATCATAATACAGTTGTGCAGGTTGTTTGACTCTCATGATCATGTATGCATTATGTCCAGTGAATATTTCATTTATAAGGTAAATAGTAGGATCATCGTTTAGCTTATACGTACTGTAATTTATTTTGATAACGAGTAAACATTCGCTACAGCAAGGCATTAAACAAATGGAGATAATCCTATTGTAAATAAGTGAGAATGTTTACATTGAGTTTTTTAAGTAAAATGACTGTGATATGTGTATGAATTAGCATTTGCATATTTATATGATGATAAACCAGTAAATACAATAAATACATTGTATTTACAATATTACTTAAAATGTACCCTGAAATGTCTTGAAAGTTTTTGTAATTCTCAGGGTTGGAATAATTTTAGTGTTGCCTACCTTAAGTTTGATGTCTTTTCTCTGTTTCACTGGAGTTAGTCATGCTATAAATTTAAAAAGTACTCCAGGTGACAGGGAAAAGGAACATCTGACATTTAATTTATACATAATAATTTTTCAAGTGAGAACAATCTGAGCATATGTAATACTGAAGAGGGTGTAGATACAGAAATGCTTGGAGGGTAAGTATTGGGTTGGCTAGTCACACTTATTTCACTGGTATTTGTACAGTGGTCCCTTGGTTAACGAGCACAATTCGTTCCAGAAGGTTGCTCGTTAACCAAAAAATTCGTTAACCGAAACCATTGTTTCAATGGGTTTTTGGGTAATTGGTTCCAGCTCACCGAAAATTACATACAAACTAAAAATAAATGCAGTAAAGTACACTTACTTTGAGATGTGCATGTACAGTAGAAGGCTCCTGGTTGATGATGATGGGAATTAGAATGGGGGTGGAGGAGAAGGGAGAAGAGAAGGCACCCCATGCTGCCATTTCACCCATAAAATTTTAGTTCACTTGGTGTATTTCAAGATTACTTTCTTTAAATCAACATTGCACTGTGCTATATATTATCAATATGTAAAATATATTTCAAAATGACCAATAATTTGACTGGAAATAGAAAAAAAAGCCTTTATGTTGAGTCTCAAACAAGATGTTCCTTCATCTGAACCTGTAAACAAACTGACGCCAAGCTTGGTGTGTTGAGTGGCTGTTTGACGCGCATAAAACTAGTTTCCTGTACTTCAATTATGTTCAGTAATTGTTACAATGACTCAAAAATTTAATATAAAACTTAAAATTATTGAATAGTACAACCTTCTTGATATTTACTAAAATGGTAAGGAATTTAAGCCCTAAAACCGATTACTGTATTGGCGGACTAATACTACAGCTGGTGGGCAGCCAAATGCAGGCGAAAACATCTTGGGAAAAATTCGTAAGGAATTCGTTAACCGGGGGTTTGCTCGTTAACCGAAGTGAAGAATCTTGTGGAAGGTAATACGTTAACCGAAATTTCGTTAACCGAGGGATCACTGTATATTGTTGTATAAATACTGTAGTTGTATGACTAAAAGGTTACCCATAATCTGAGTGGTTTCTGAAGTTTGGATAGTATTTTCATGACCTCATTCATGCATTGTAAAATAAAATGTGTCCTTTAGACTCAAACTGTCATGTCAAGATTGCCTTCAATACAAGTATAACATTTCCCTTTAACCTACATTAAAAATTTTCTTAAATTTTCAGAATTGAAAGAAATTCTTGATACAATCAAACTGTATTCTTGTCAATGCCTCTGATAAAGGAATAAAAATGAAAAAAAAGTATTTTGAAATTAATGAATGGATGACAGTTAATGAAGGGAGAGTTTGTGTTTGCTCTTGATCATGACTTTATATACAGTAATGTACAGTAGTGGGAAAAATTAAAGAAAAATTTGGGTGAAAATTTTTAAGATTTGGGTAATTTTATTTTATCAGTAATCTCTCCATTAGCCAGAATCTTCGATCCCCAGAATTTTCCAATAGGCAGATTTATTATTATTATTATAAGCATTCCAAAAAATTCCTGGAACAATTGCTCCATTCTGGGTGTGGGAATGAATTTCCAAGGATTGCATCATGCAAATTTCTGGAAAATTCCATGAAAATCTCTGTTCCGGACATAAGAAAGAATTTTTGATAGATTGCATCGTGTTTCTGATACGTGCTGTGTGGGTGGGTAGACTCGGAGTGCTTGTGAACTACGATTGGTTACTACTCTCATGTGACTACAAGGGATGCCTATGATTGGCTGATGTGTCTCACAGTCTATCTCCTCAAACTCTTGCATCATGACACCTACTGTATACAGTATTTAATTGTATGCTGCCATTTTACAAGCTAGTTCACTGCTGTTTTCACATACAATTTGTGTTGTGCAGTACTGTACATTATTGTACCAGCATATAATTGCCAAGAATACCGTTAAATCAGTGTTAAGACGTGAAAAATTATTAGTTATAGTACAGCTCCTCCCCGACTTACAACCACTCGCACTTACGACCTGCCTCAGTCGTACCAAAATTTTGTAAAATTACGTATTTTCGAGTCCCAAAGTCAGTACACAGAAAATTTTCGTTTGTAATTCACTTTAAAATGGCTGGCAAGCTTAAAAGAGAGTTTTTTGGTGCTGAGAAGAAAAGAGAGACCCATTTTAGGTTTTATATATTATTTAAGCATTTTCGACTTGCGACCATTTCGACTTAGGATCATTTCGACTTACGACCTGGATTTGGGTTCCTAACCCCGTCGTAAGTCGGGGAGGAGCTGTATACTGTACTATACATTCAGTAAGTGTGGATGTACCATATGCACAATGCTATTGTACAGCATAGCAGAGTAGGCAGTGTATACTAGTGTGTAGAGGGTGTATGTACAATCATCTAAGTGAATTATGTCATGATTTCCAGAAACATTCAAACGGAAAGTGGTCTGGCAAATGACCAACTCT